GAGTGATGGGCGGGGGGGCTGAGTGGGACAGGAGGCTGGGACCCCCCTCCCCCACCACTCTCCCCTGCAGGGGCAGGAGGCAGAAGCTTGGTCCTGCGGCAGCCATGCTCCCCCCCCCCCCTAGTTTCTTCCCACAACGTGGTGCATTCTGGCCCCTCCTCCTCCCCGCTCTCCCTGCCAGCGATGGTCCTTGCGAGGGGGAGCAGAGCAGAACTGAGCGGCAGCGTGCTCGCTGCTCTGTAGAGCAGGTAGAGAGAAGTAGGGACGGGCCTTGGGGAAGGGGGAGGAACAGGGCATATCCCTCCCAGCCCCCTGCCATGAGCCGCTCAGGGCAGGGGGCTGGGAGCACCCCCATGAACCGAGCACCCCAGCCCTCTGCCCTGCACCCCCCCTACACCCTCCAGCCCTCTGCCCTGCACCTCCCCCCAACACCCAGCCTTGTGCCCTGCACCTCCACACACCCTCCAGCCCTCTACCCTGAACCCCCCCCACACCCAGCTTTGTGCCCTGCACCTCCACACACACCCCAGCCCTCTGCCCTGATCCTCCCCACACACACATCCCAGCCTTCTACCCTGCACCCGCACACACACCCCAGCCCTCTGCCTTGCCCTCCCCTCAACACCCAGCCTTCTGTCCTGCACCTCCACACACACCCCCCAGCCCTCTGCCCTGACCTCCCCGCAACACCCAGCCTTCTGCCCTGCACCTCCACACACCCTCCAGCCCTCTGCCCTGACCTCGAGTCGCCCCGCTCAGCCCGCTGCAGGCCTAGGTGAACGGAACCCCAGGCGGGAAGTGGGCCGAGCAGGCTGGCGGCGTAAGATCAGCATTTTAATTTAATTTTAAAGGAAGCTTCTTAAACATTTTGAAAACATTGTTTACTTTACATACAACAATAGTTTAGTTATATAATATAGACTTATAGAGAGAGACCTTCTAAAAAATGTTAACATGTATTACCGGCACGCGAAACCTTAAATTAAAGTGAATAAATGAAGACTCGGCACACCACTTCTAAAAGGTTGCCTATCCCTGCATTAGGCACTGCTATATGACTGACTCAGGTTCGATTTCCAGCCCTGATTTCTAAACGGATGGATGCAGAAGAGGTTGGAAGTGCTGCAGAGATGGCATGTTCTATTCGAGAAGGGAATGTTTTCTGTCACTTAGCAGTGACTTCTGCAGACTGATTAAGGAGCAGTTTTAAAGGTTCTAAAGGGAATACTATCCCATTTAGATGGTAAACTCATGAGTAAGGCTACGATTTAGTCATAGGTATTTTTAGTAAAAGTCATGGACAAGTCACAGGAAATAAACAAAAATTCACAGCCCGTGACCTGTCCATGAGTTATATTGGGAGGGAGGGGAAACACTGCTGTGGGGTGGGGGGCGCCTGGGGCCAGCGGCTCCAGCTGCCGGGGGCCACGGACCGTGGCTGCTCTGGCCGGCCACCCGCCTGGGGGCCGTGGCTGCTCCAGCAGTGGCTAGTGTGGCTGTCCCCAGAGCTGCTCCAGCAGTGGCTGGTGTGGCTGGCCCCGGGCCAGCTGCTTGGGCTGGCCCCGGGCCAGCTGCTTGGGCGGGCCAGCTGCTTGGGCGGCCCCGGGGTCAGCCATGCTGGCACCTGCAGAAGTCACGGAGGTCGCAGAAAGTCACGAAATCAGTGACCTCCGCGACCTCTGTGACAGACATGGAGCCCTACTCTGGAGGGCAGGGACTTGTCTACTTATTTGTATATTAAGCACCAATAATCCAGTAGCCATCAAGGGATCAGGAGCAAGTTAAAATGAGGACCCTCGTGGTCCTGATAGACACACACAGGCCCCACCACAAGCACTCAATAGAAAAGAAACATAATATTTGGAAGTAAAATCATATATTTTAATAAGACATAGAAATGCATCTTGGCTAAGGTTATACAGAGGATAATTTATTTTTTGTCATGCACAGAAAAAAATTGAGGCCTATTTGCAATCATATTTTGATAAAACTTATGAGTTATTTCCTGTTCTCAGTGTTGCTTCAGAATATGGATTTATGGATGAAGCACTAAAATATTGATGGGATACAGACATGTGGAGAAAATAAGGAAATTTGTACCTTCAGGGGACTGCTCCCTCTGTCGCTTCTCTCTCTTCTTGGCTGGCTGTGTGATCTGGTAAAAAGGAAAATTTACACCAGAGAAAGAAATGTGTACAGGCAGGCCTCGACTTTATGATGTTTGACTTACGATGAACGACACTTACGATGCTTCTGAATTGACACCCTGATTCGACTTACGACAGTTGGTTTCGACTTTACAACGCTCAGTCCCACAATGGAGTGGATTGCGATTCCGAGTTACGTTTCGACTTGCGATGCAATTTTCAGGAACCAATTGTGTCATAAGTCCGAGGACTGCCTATAAATGTTTTCTGGTGCATCCACTTGCTTCCAAGGACCAACTTTGTAGTAAGGGCTGAGAAGCCATTTGAATACATGACAATGGCATTTGCCTCTCCTATAGTAAAGGCTTGTTTTCTGCCTTGTGCAGCCATAGTCATCCAGCACACATTCTCAAATAAGAGCACATCTCGCACAAGTTGTGCAGGCTTCTTTCAGTCTTAAACAGGAGGAAGCAACTCATAACCAGACCTCTTTAGCTCTCACATTACAGAAGCAAGTCTGCGGATGAGAAAATGTATGGGTTTATTTCTCCTAATCTCTTTTCAACAGCATGGGACCACGCTGCTCATAAGGCTGGTTGTGACAAGGAGCATCTTTCAGATAGAAAGCTGTCGGTGTCAATCTCGTGCCCTGCAGACCATGAGCCAGAAGTGATCTACTTTCTCCAAGGAATGACTGAGCTAAGATTTTATTGCTCTAATCACGTAGTCACTAGTTCTAGAATACATCCCTTTAATAGGTGAATAGCCAGTTCTGTTTCATTAAGCTATGGGACTACACTGCCCCCTCCTGACCCATCACATAAAATTCAGATATCTATTTCCTACAGGCCATGAGGATTTTCTCATGTCTTTTCCAGCCAGTTTATGTGTTGCAGAGAGAAGGGGTGCTCATCTTAAACAGACTGGATATTTGCTCAAGTTAAGCAAATATTCAAAGAAAAGCTCTCCTCACCACACACATTAGTAAAAGGATGACATATTCTCTCTTCCCACTTGAATAATTTTATTTCTTTGGGCTGATTAGTCTGAAATTTAATTACCTCTTTCTCTTGACTCCGTTTTTGTCCTCCATCTGCTTTTTTGCTGGCAGGTTCTGGGTGCTGCTGTGACTTGCTCTTCTTTTGTGCAGCTCCTTCTCTAACAGACTTCCCTGCCTTAGGGGGATGAGCACAATGATGTTTCATGACCTTTAAAGCAGTGGGGAGAGAAGTAGAGTCAACAGAGACAGAGATGTATAATCTATAAAGAAGTGCAAAACACACACAGCTATTGAAGAGGAAGGCTGTGTTGAATACAGCATAACCTTTTGTGTATTTGAGTGCTTTGCTCCCTTGGTAAATGTCTCCACTTGCTGCCTGATGGAGAAGCCATGGGATATTCTACACGCACCCACACACCCTTGCCCCCGATTACTCCCCAGATCCATTAGCCAACATTTGTTTGTTATATGATCATAAACACCAATGTCATGCCTGTTACAGAGACTATTTACATTACATCCTCCTCACACCATTTCTCCTAGGCAGCTCCTACTCTGACACAGGGGATGATGCAACTTTGCCATGGCTTCTGGCAGCAACTGTCATGACACGGGAGGCAATGTCATTATGCTGAGCCTTGTGGCAGTGATTGTCGTGACATCATGGACAATTAGATCCTTGCAGGGGGGACTCTCATGACTTCACAGAGATCATGTCATTGCACTTTTTCGCAGCAGCTACTGTCATGACATATGGAAACGATGTTCTTGCAGTGGTGATCATCACGGCTTGGTGCTGGGTCTCCTGCAGTGACTGTCATGATATAAGGAACTGTCGTGATAGTAGGTAGGACTAATCCAGAGGTTCTGAAACTGGGGGTCAGGACCCCTCAGGGGGTCATGAGGTTATTACATGGGGGGGGGGGCGTCACGAGCTGTCAGCCTCCACCCAGTCTCCACCCCAAACCCCACTTTGCCTCCAGCATTTATAATGGTGTTAAATATATACAGAAATGTTTTTAATGTATGGGGGAGGGGGGAGGTTGCATTCAGAGGCTTGCTATGTGAAAGGGGTCACCAGTTCAAAAGTCTGAGAATCCTTGGACTAATCTAAGTGATTGGGGCCCCTTTTGGGTGGGCTGAGAGTAGGGTGACCAGACAGCAAGTGTGAAAAATCGGGACAGGGGTGGGGGGTAATAGGAGCCTAAATAAGAAAAAGACCAAAAATCGGGACTGTCGCTATAAAATCGGGACATCTAGTCACCCTAGCTGAGAGAGGTATGGCCATAACCATACTGTCTGTGACTGGAGGGGTTCCCTAAAGTTATATGAGAGAGACTACATCTCCCAGCATGCATTGCCACCCCTGGTCATAGGCCGCTTACTGAGGTGGGCGCATTGCATGCCGGGAGATGTAGTCTTGGCCACCTGGACGCCCCTTCTCACCTCACAGCTACCTGATGCTGTCGCATTGACCGACTACACCCCCCCGGAAAAGTCCCAGCGCGCGGCCCATCTCGGCCCCTCCGAGACTCACCGGTCCGCCTCAACGACCCCAGTCCAGGTGCCTGGCGCAACGCCGCCGAGCCGTTAGAGACAACGTTCCCGCGCTGCAGCGCGCATGCGCACACCGAGGCCAAGCCAGCGTCCCTCCCAGTGCACAGGCGCGCGCGCCTGCGTACTCGGCTTTGTTTGGGTTTGGGACTGACTCGCACCCGCACCAGCAGCAGGACGGGGGCGGGTAAGGGCCTGTCCGCTGGGGAGCGGGCGCTGGCCGCTCAATCCCCTCCCCCATCCCGCTTCCCTTCCGCCCCGCGCCTCAGGGGGATCCCGGCCGGTGTGAAACAACCCGCGACGTCCCCAAGGCTGTTGTCGGCCCCCCCCCCCGGGCTGCTCGCGAGACCAGACGCGCCCTTCGCTGGAACCGTCCCGCACGGGGCAGGATCCCCGGAGTCCCCTGCCCAGCTTCGCCACGGCTTTCCCGGGGGGCGGCGCCCGTGCCCGATAACGCACCCCGGCCCTTTCTACCACGGCGCCGTCGGGCCTGTCCCCCCCAGCGCCTTTGCCGCTGTGCTGCCGGTGTATGATACACCCCCCGCTGCCGGCCGCTCCCCGATCTGTAGCTGCGCCTTTGATTTTCCTTCCGAAGGGCCCCGCTCGGCGCTTGTCGGGATTGAATCGCCTCTCGGTGGTTTCGGTGCTGGGGGGCGCGGGGCAGTTCGGGCTTGAGATGGGTAACGCCGAGGGGTGCAGTGTGGGTAGATGGGTGGTGGAGGAATAGGACGCCTGGATTGCGTTTGTTTTCACAGGCCAGTTAAGTTCTCTTCGGGTTCCTATACCACGTTCATTTTACTCCCTTTATAGTTAAAGTGGCCAGACAGCAAATGTGAATAATCGGGACGGGGGTGAGGGGTAATAGGAGCCTATATAAGAAAAAGACCCAAAAATCGGGACTGTCCCTATAAAATCAGGACATCTGGTCACCCTATTTTATAGTTGTGCTGAGGTTGAGTGTTTCTTTGCAAATGGTTAAAGCAGGGGAGTGGGTTCCATCCTTTACTGCTGGCCTTGACTTGCAGTTGGAATTTAGGCAAGCCACATAATTGCTGCATGACTCAGTTTCTCCATCCGAGCTCTTCCCATGAAAGACAATATGGCAATGCAAAGTATTTATTTATATACTTCCAGTTTCCTCAGCTCGTCTCACGTTGGTGACCCACACAGGAAGCCATGTTGAGGGCCAAGGGTGGGCTTCTGCGCCTCTGGCCACACCACTCCAAGATCATGTGCTGCTCCCTGCACCGGCAACCTCTGCATCCAGAGTGGGCTGCTATGGCTAAAAAGCAGCTGAAGGGCAAGAATCCAGAGGAATTGATATGGCACACCCCAGAAGGAATTGCCATCAAGCCTTTGTACTCCAGAAGGGACACAGAAGGTGTTCCTGAGGAGCTGCCAGGAGTGAAACCTTTCACTCGGGGACCCTATCCCACTATGTATACTTATAGGCCATGGACTATCCGCCAATATGCTGGTTTCAGTACAGTGGAGGAGAGCAACAAGTTCTACAAGGACAACATCAAGGGTAAAGCTAACATTTACCTTTCTATCTCTGCCTGCATAAAGACAGCAACCTGGATGCATTCCAGGTTCAGCCTAGCAAGGATAGTGCAGATATCATGGAACAATTTAGTCTTGTGTCATAGCCCTATAGGGGACAAATTTGCTGTAGAAAACCTGCTAGTTTTTTTGTCAGTTTTAGTTAAACTTTTAAACTCGTTCATCCTGGCACTCTAGATTTAAATATTATACGGTGCATTTTAAATATAATTACATTAGGGATGTAAATACCGTTTTAAAAGTTAACTGTTTAAATTATTAATATTTCATTTAAATGGTTAACGGATCCAGCCAGTGGGGCTGGGGCCGATCCAGCCAGCCGGCCCGGGGGCTAACGGTTTAGACTGGTTAACCGGTAAGACTAATGCCGGTTAACCTTTTACATCCCTAATTTACATGTTAGGAATACCTGATGGCTTAGTTCGGAGCATAGTAGGCAAGCCAATTTCCCAGAGATGACATTTTCAGGTTTTTGAGAGCAGGTTTTCCAATATTTCTTCAAAGTGTTAAATTTCCTAACAAATCTTTTCTATACAATGAAATAATATACTGTTATAACAGTCTGTATGTCAGAAGTAATTCAGCCACTGCTGAAATGAGCTACCTGGGCTCATTCCACCCCATCTGTTTTTTTGCCAGTAATACAACCCAAATTTTTTTTGAGGGGATGGGCAGTATAATTTTACCAGTCAAAACAATAGTGAAAGTCCCATTAACTAAAAAGTTCCAAATACAGAGTATTTATGTTTCACAAATTGTTCTTCAGAAAGGCTTTTTTGTATAAATGTCCTCAAACCATAGTTTTATCACAGAGCAAGAATGCTACAAATATATTTTTATACAAGTATTTAAGTGAGAGTCTGACCTAGTCGTTGGCAAATGAATTTGCAGTCAGGGTTTTTGGTATTCCTGGTTCTGCCATTGGCTTGCTGTGTGACCTTGTCATGTCACAAGTTTTCTTCACTCTGTGGGTATATTAATGCTTAACCACCTAACCAGAATGTTTAATCTTGCTAAATTATTTGGAAACACTCAGTGAAAAGCTCTGTATAATTGCACTGCATGGTGGTGGAGTGATGATACTCTCAAACTAGCAACAATCCCCAAATTATTAGATGTTTCTGCAAACATGATCAGCAGTGAAAGAAGTTTACATCAAATTTCTATCATTATATTTCAGAGATGACATTCCCATGAGATGAATTGGGGGCAGTTCATATCTCTCTGAGAACTTAATGTTGAATCTCCTACACAAAGTTCAAATACAGGAGGAAAAGGAATCCTCCTCCAAACGTAGTGCTTTGACATGGAGCAGTTATATGCCCACTTCACTGCCCCAGTACAGTTCATGGGTTTTAGTACGGTAGCAGCTGGTATGTGGAGAAGGTAAGATTCTGGATCCAAATGGCAGTTTATATACTGGCTGCTCCATGATACTGCCTGTGTAACACCATTAAATTCCCCATTCATAAATTCTACGGTCGGAAGAGACCACTGCGATCATCTAGTCTGACCTCCTACATAACACATATGACACGGTGCACCACTACAGAGCTTGTTTCTGCTCCCCAGTGGAACCATGGCAGCTCCAGGCCTTTAATTCCCTACTTGGTGCCAGCATTTGACCCTAAAAGCTATTTTTTCATTCTCTGACCACAGACTCAGAGCTGCATTGAAAACAAAATTATCTTTACTACAGTAAGAGTTAGAAACTTTTGAATGAAAGTTTAAATTCCACAGAAATTAATAGACCTCCAGAGAAGTTTGAAGATAGCCTGTGACACCACAAATTGGATCAGTTGAGACCCTGACTACGTAAAATAACCTGTTTTACTGTTTGTTTTCATGAACCTAGCTGGCCAGCAAGGATTGTCAGTTGCCTTTGATCTGGCAACCCACCGTGGCTATGATTCAGACAATCCACGAGTCCGTGGTGATGTTGGAATGGCTGGAGTTGCCATTGATACGGTGGAAGACACCAAGATCCTTTTTGATGGAATTCCTTTAGAAAAAATGTCAGTTTCCATGACAATGAATGGTGCAGTAATTCCTATCTTGGCCACATTCATCGTAACTGGGGAAGAACAAGGGGTGCCTCAAGCCAAGCTTACTGGGACAATCCAGAATGATATACTCAAAGAGTTCATGGTCCGAAATACATACATTTTCCCTCCAGAACCATCGATGAGGATCATTGCTGACATCTTCCAGTATACATCAAAGGTATTCTTTATTTTAATTCACTTCTATTATATTATTTATGCAGTGCTCAAATGTGCACAAGACACTTTACAGAACAAAGAGAAAGATGCCATGGCAGCTAGTAACAAACAATGCAGGATGGGAAGTACAAGGATTACAATAATAAGATCATATATCAATGGGGTATATACATATTGATCATTTGGGGAAAATTTAGATATTAATCACTATCTGTAAACAGCAAGGAAGAAGTGGGATTTAGGAAGGATGTGCATGGTGCACAGGAGACAGCTTGACAAATAGGGATTGGGAGGCTGTTTTGTGCGTAGAGGTCAGTATGGAAGAAGACAAAGGTAGGAGACAAGGGAAGGCTGGGCCAGAGTGGTGCAGAGTCTTGAATACAAGGAGAAGTTTGATTTTTGAAATGCAGGACAAGGGGGAGCCAGTGGAGGGATTGAAAGAGAGTGGTTTTAATGATGGCTGAGGAAGACTGTTTTGGCTGTATCATTTTATATAGATTTAAGGGGGGCAGTGTGACCATCAAGGAGACCAGAGGATGAGGTTTTAGTAATCGTGGTGAGAGATCATTAAAGCTCAAACACTAATTAGCTGTTGGGGCAGAAAAGTAGAAACAAACTGGCTACATTAAGGAGGAAAAGCAGCAGAATATGAAGGTGATGAGTAGCGTATAAATGTCTAAGTAGAAGATATGGCCAGAAACAAGTTTACTTTTGAAACGTAATTTACAATGAATAGGGTTGTCTTTAAGCATTATGGGCTAGATTTATAAAAGGACTTAGGCACCAACCTGCCACTACAGCTACCTAAATCCCAGAATCAGTCCCTGCTGGGATTCACAAAGGCCCTGCTCAGCTGTTCCTGAGCCCTGTAGGCACTTAAACTTGTGAAGAACCTTAGTTTTGCAGTGAATGTTCCCTAGGTGCCTGTTTCTGTTTCTGCCGATGCTGTTCCATGCGGTCAGCTGGACTTGTAATCCCCAGAGCGATCATGAAGTAGGAGAACAAAGGCATTCCTCAACCTATTTTGCCTTAGGGGCCTGATCCACTAAGTGTGCTCAGAACTCCCTTACCAGATCAGGCCCCTACAGACAAGCTTACATAAAATGGCGACAGGGTGAAGGGGAGTAGGACCTCCCTCATAATTTTTAGCTCAGTCATTAGGTTACTCACCTGGGATGTGGCAGACCCCTGGTTCAAGTCCCCCCTCCACCTGAGTGGGAAAAGGAATTTGAACAGGATCTGCTGCCTTTCTGGTGAGTGCCTAGCCAAATGTTGAAGCTGTTCCACTGTGGATCATAATGAAAGAATGGTAGGGCCGAAGAGAGAGCAGGAATGGGAATGAATGTAGTATGGTGGTTAGAGCACTCAGCATCATTGTGCCTAAGATTCTTTGCGAATCTAGCCCTAATAGCACAATTACATGATTCTGCTCTCCCTGCATTATTGCTTTTTTGTTTACACAGCACATGCCAAAATTTAATTCCATTTCAATCAGCGGTTACCATATGCAGGAGGCAGGAGCTGATGCCATATTGGAATTAGCTTATACTATAGCTGATGGATTGGAGTACTGCAGAACTGGAATCCAAGCTGGCCTTACCATTGATGAATTCGCACCAAGGTAAGTAAAACAAGCTCACAAGTACTTACCTGACTTTTGGAAAATGAATAGAAACTCTAGGTTTTAATTTCACGTTTGGACTCTGACATTTAAAACTGTGCTAGTAACGAAGGTAATATCCATATTACAAGCTGACTTTTTAACTAGCATAAGATTGCAGTGGCAAGGAGTGAGATCTAGTACGACAGACACTTAGGTTTAATCAACAGGTATGGCAGCCCTCTGGTGTCTTTTCATATTGTAGTTTTATTTATGCCTCCTTATATTCAATCAACAAAACACTGTTTAAAATGTTCTTAAAAATTCTATTAATATCACAAGAGAATTCACATACCTAGGCATGCCTTCAGTTATCAGTTTTCTTTAGTAGTAA